TACATATATATATATATGAATAATTGTATCTGTGTACCTGTGTATGTGTATGTGTGTGTGTGCGAATGTGAATGAAGACCTGTCCGCCCCTCTCGCATGCGCCCGCTCGCCAATGCTCACACACGTTGTATGTACACTTGGAAGTTTACAAACCTAAATCCATGATTCTACCTTCCTACCTGTCCATCTGTCTGTCTGCCTGTCGGTCCTGTCTATCTATCTATCAGTCTATCTATGTATCCATGTGCATTCTTACTGTGGAGGGTAGGACCAGGGTAGGACCTCCAGGCACCAGGAGCCGGGCCTTGAGGCCAAAACGAAATGAAAAGGTTGCATACCTACTGTAGCCTACTGAAAGACAAGACGATCACTAGGGCTTGGTGGATATCTACGTGCGGTAACATGGGATTGTAGTGCATCCTTTTCTGTTTTTGTGTGCATGTTCGTACTTACGGCCGCCTATTGCGGGCGGTTGCGTGCAGGTTGGATCGTCCACTGACTTCTATGAGACCGACTCCACAGCGTAAGCCTCTCAGTCATGAGTCATGACATTGAATCGACGATTCTACACGTTCGACTCCTGCCAGTGTCAGGCTTAATTAGGTTCAGCTGAGCAATTTTCCTTTCCTTACTGTCATTATGGTTCTACTGCATTTACTGTTACTTGCCCCCGGACAGGAGCTGTGTAGACCTGCTTCAAGTTGGCCTGCAGATGCGCGGGCATCTGGCAGCATCCAGGAGTGGAGCACCTTAGCTGCAAGATGCGATTGAGGAGGTCGCAGCACTCGCTGGCCCTTCCGCAGCCAAGGAATCTTTTGTTCAAGAGTTGGCGACCTCGCTGCATTGGAGAGCAGGTGTGCAGGTGGAAGCTCTTGCCATGTTATAACATCACCAAAAGCCTGACAACAGCTTTGAGACTCAAGCAGCTCAGGAAAACCAGGATGCATCCTACACCGGTGCCTAGCCTCATGAGACCGACATTGACCTGGCTGTTTTGAATGTTGTACTAGCCGAGGTACGATCTCCATTGGCGGCCAAGAGCTGCAGGCCAGGGTTTTGGCAGCACGGATGGGTCGCGACGGCTTCTGCTCGCTGAGGCCATCCTGGACACAGGCTCCTTCGAGCTCGTCGTCTTTTCCACACGCTGCAACGGCTGCGGAGCTGCCGGGGAGAGTGGCTTCAATCAGACGTCCCCTGGCTGAGAGCGGTCTCAGCTCTTTCTTTACATTCTATACCGTTGGCCGCAGCAGAGGTCAAGCCAGACCTTCCGAGCCGGCAACCTCATGCAGCAGCTGAGCTACGGCAGCGGGGACACGCTGCCTGGCAGAATCTTCCTGAGATGATTTGGCACCTCCGGCCACTGGAACTTCCAACCGTCACATGTGAGGGCAGTGAGATGACTTGTCAAAGGGATGCACACGGTCGCAAAATCAAAGAAGCTCGAGGTTGTTCTGAGTGCGGATTACCGGATCCCAGAGACACAGCCTGTTACGATCAGGCTATGCAGGGACGCAGTTGACAAGCTGCAGATAGGACCGAAGAGATCTGAAGTTGGGCCCCATTTCGGAAACTCTTGACGCCCACATCTGGCAGGACCGCTCTCCGTGGAGAAACAGCCCATGTGCCTCGGTTGGTTTGCTGGAAGAGTCCCCAACACCTACACCCCTTACTTTAAACCCTGAACCTGAACCCTAAACTCCAAACCCTGAAGCCTAAACCCTTAACTTTAAACCCTAAACCCTAGACCTTCGACCCCACGAATAGAGTGCTTTGACAGCAGAATACGAGGAGAGCCCGAGGAAGACCCCTCCACCCCCCCTGACCCCAAGTCCCCGAGCCCCCAGTCAGGTCCCAAAACGACACTCCGTTCGGCTTTAACCCGAAAGGCCCTATGGTATACAGTACATAACCTATAGCCTATATAATCTTCATACTACAGGTATAAGAAATGAAATTGAAATATATATATGAGATACAACATAGATGATAAAAGATATGCGATATAAGGTATAATGTAGACTGCTACTTACTTTTCCTATTGGCTTAGCTTTGGAGGTGGCTTGTGATGGAAGCGAACATGGGCATCCTTGGGTCTGCCGAATTCCAGGCGATCCTAGGACCCCGTGGGTCTGCTTTGGGGGCTGCGGGGTTCTAGTTTCAGGGTTTAGGGCTTAGGGCTTATGGGTTTAGGGTTGAGGGTTGAGGGCTTAGGGTTTTGAGGGTTTAGGGGCTAGGGCATATGTACATGAGTCAGGACTCATGAGGTACATTTTAAAGGGATTCTGGGCTTTCTAGGACGCAAAGGTTTTGGGGAGGGGTTCATAAACTTTAGCGATCTGTGTTGAAAGGCTTTGGGGAGCAGTTTAACAGCTGGGCTCATGATACCGCGGTTCGGGTTTATGAAGTAGCAGGAGACGCCGACTTCTCGAGCGCATGTAGTTGACAGCACCATGACTCAGTGTTTAACTCGGCAGGATTGGGGCCACCGACGGCCGTGAAGGAGCAAGCAAAGATGGACCGAGAGCAGCTGGAGAAGCTGGAAGAGAAGCTGCAGGCTCACCGAGCGCCCACGAGTACTTCCCAGTGTCGACGTAATGTTGCCCAGGGCTGGGGCGCCGTCCTGCCGGCCCGCATCGCGCTTAGAATCGCAGAAGAGTGCCGATGGCCGAAAGTATGACATTCCGAAGTCCGTCGTCTTAAAGCTCGAGCTTTTGTGCTTATAGCCGCCCGGGGCTACGCCGGGCTCAGGCCTGCAGAACCGAATCGAGGCCAAGATGGCAGCCGATACCGTCCTGGACACCCTTTTCGTCCTGTTTTGCCTGTTTTCTTAATTGTGTTCTCTTTGAGATGTCTGTCGGAGCTTTTGCTGAAGTGCTTGGCGAGGAGAACCTGGACGACAGCGTGCCTGCGAATCTCCAGATGCGGTACATGTCAGTCTGCATAGGAGCCGCCGAAGGCCCTGCTCGTGACTGTGCTTTCTCCATCTCGTTCCAGGGTTCAAGCTGTCTCTCCATCAGGCTCGAAGGGATATATGATCTGGAACGATCTGCCACCAGCATCGCGACCGGAGCCCTTTCGGAGGCTGAATAGAGTTGAGCTGTGCGGCGCAAGTGCCTAGCTTCGATTCGAGGGCGATGTCTATCGTTGAATCAAAGCCGTAGATGCCTTCCTCAGTTTTTCGATGGTGTCCTTAAACCCTGAACCTAAACCCTAAAAGAGTACATGCCTACGGAGAGCGTTGTATCCCAGCGATCCAGGCTCTCCGTGGTGGGCTCTGTGACCTGGGGCCTCAGCCTGAAGAATGTCCGGCTGGTGCAGAAAGACGGCTCGTCCCACACAGCTCCTCGACTTTAGCTGGAAGATGTAAACATGAAACATAGAGAAGCACACATACACACACACACATATATATATATGTACATTGTTGCTATTGTTGTTGTCATTACTATTGCTTCTTATAATAATAATTAGTATTATTATTATACTACATGACATCATAGTATAAGGCATCTCACCAAACGCCTCTACGTCCCTTGCCACCCGTCCTCGCATGGCGGCCTTAGGTTGGTTGTCGGGAGGGCTGTGGAGCCATCCTGGACACCGGCACATCCCTCATCTCGGGTCCAACTGCAGCTCTCACAGCCTCTTGGCTTCATTAGTCCCTTTTGGGGTCCTTTGTATAAGGGTGCCGTACTATATTGGGGACCTAAAATTTAAAAGGGGACCCTAATTTAGAGAACATTGGAATCTAAGTCGCAAGGAAGCTCTCTGGCTTCTGGAGCAGGGTCACTCTTCTGGTAGAGCTTCGTGGTCTGTGCATGAAAGCAGATTTCGGTTCGAAGCTTCTTGCGCGCGGTATGACTGTCTCGCCAGGGCACAAGTACAGACAAACCCGATGCATCGATGATGTTCAGCACAGCATCGCGCATATGGTAGGCTATGAAGCAAGGTATAACAAAGCAGTGTTGGCGCATCCAGGCGCATGGTTCAAGCTGCCATGTTGGCCACCGATGCAGCCACTCTGCTGCCAAAAGCACAGGCCTTGATGTCCCAACTGCAGGCAAACAACATGGAGCTGAAGAACGAGATAAAGCGCTTCAAGACGCTGAACGCGGTGTTGCAGCAGGCAATCGACAGCCAGCTACAAAAACTCCCGGAGCTCCAGTTCGCCGGTTCCACTGCAGACCCGGCAACGCGTCTGGCTCAAGCTTGCGGCGCTCTGAAGACCAGAGCCCAAGAGCTTGAGCATCAGATTGACGAGAAGCGTCAGCGAAAGCTGCGGATGCAGCGGGAGCTGGAGGAGAGAAAAGCCAAGCTAAAGTCGATTTCCTTGTCCACCACGCCTGCCAAGTTGAACGCCAGCCCACTGAAGCTTTCGCCTTCGTCTGGAACGGGCAGCGGCATCAGCAACATGAGCCACATCAGTCGTAAGGAAGCAGCGCTGCTTCTGCAGCAGGATCTCTTCCGGAAGAGATTCCTGCTTAGACGCGACTACAAGGGGCCCAGTGGCGGTGCCTGATTTGTCGGCTCGCAAAGAGCATGAGTTGAGGAGACCGAGATGGCCGAGATGTGCGAATGATGTGCGTTTCGTGAACATGACCTTTTCTGTGCTCCTCGACAAAGCACCACAAGAGCTCCATTCTAGAGCGCGTCGCCTAGCACGAGCGGGGCAGCTTCGCTTAGAGCATCTTAGCGCCAGCCTTACAACCGGGACCTGCTCTGACAGCAGCTCGCAAAAAGCACAGTATGCACGGATGCAAGGTGCATGCGGCCACAACGGTTTGCTCTGCTCCTAATTACACTTGCGGCCGAAGTGTTCTGCATTTGTTCACACTAGGCCTTAGCTTCGGACCCTTGAGCCCTGAAGAGCTTGAAACCCTTGGCCGCACCGTTTTGGCAGATGTTCATCCCTGCATCGGCTTGCAGGCAATGGGTGGGCTCTTAGAAGCTTGGCTCCAGCTCTGGACTTGAGTGCTGCTTCGCCACGTCTGCGCCTACATGAACTGTGGAGCTGTAAGACCATTTACGACAACATTGGTAATCTACTCTTGTATGATAAACCATGAGATAGAGTGATGTAAAATGATCTTGTATGTTAGTTGTATGTTTTATAATATCAGTCGTTTGACGAGCCGCAATGTATTGCACGTTGGATTCGCAGCCGAGGAAGCCATTGGGGCAGACTGTGCTAAAGAGGACCCATGTGCAAGTGCCGAACAGAACCGGACTTTTTTGTGAACCCCCAGCCCTAAACTGCTTGGATTGTGAGCTCTCCGGACAGGAGACCCTGCCCGATCTGGAGTTTGATCTGGGAGGGCAGACCATCGTCCTGTCACCTGATGCCTACATTGGTCTTGTGACAGGCCTGGCAGAGTGATGCTTGGGTAGGTTGCAGGCACCGGCAGGTTGTCAGGTCACACCCCAGTTTGCAGTATACTTACGAAAATGTAGGCTCCCCCGAAATCCTTCATCAAGCCGACAGCAAGTTGCATTACGCTTCGGCCGCTTCGGCACAAGTTTGCGAACGAGAATGGCTCCAAAGTCGATCTATAAATGCGGGTTGGGCGCATCTGAGCACAGGTTCAGTTGATGTTGGGCCTGCAATGAAGACAGATGGCAGATGGTAAGCCGTGATGGGGTGCTATCCCCAGAAATGAAGGAAGGGCGCCCTACCAAAGTAGCGGGGCCGTGTACACCCAGAGGAATGAGCAGAACTAAAATCATGTCCCACCAGCAAGACTACGTTGCATCGCATCACAGGGCAGGGTGCCGGCGAATTCCGCATGTTTCATTTCCGCCTTCTTTGCATGCTGAGAGAACTTCGTTGGCCTCTTTTCAAACTGTTAGACCCGATTTTCTTCAGACGGGGCCACGTTGCGAGGGAGGGAGTTGGACGTCGTTGGGATTACCAATTCAATAGATGTCGCGGCCAATCAGCTGCAACACTGGCGAAGATGAACCTTTGGCTTCTTGCTGCATTGAAATGGATCCACATGGATTTTGCGCAGCTGTGTGTGAAGTCCTTGAAACTTCACCGCGACCCATGCAAGCTGGCACATTCCCGTGACCTGTTCTTTTGACGGTTGTTGTGCAGGTATCATGCCAGCACCCTGGCGTCTCCTTTTCAAGCAAAAGCCCTTCATCAAGGCCTGCGAGCACGGGAACATGCTGGAATGCCCTCACGGAGAGTAGCACGAATGCAAAGCCTTTGCTTGAAGGTTCATCAATGCGAGCTGCTGATGATGGACACAGGACAATCCAGATCCGACGCGGGAGAGCTGTGGATCATAGGCTTGCCATTTTTCCGCCTCTTGGCTAATGGTGGTGCTGCACGCACAGACACTTGTGAGCGGTTTGGCCTTAACCTTAAACCGCCAATGGCAACAGGGCGCAGGAGCGACTCTAGCGGTAGAGAGCCTCGCGCTGCCGTCCCTGACAAGGGCTGGCATTGAGTTGTGAATGAGTTTGGGTCATTCAGCCGGCCTGGATCAGATGCCTGCAAGGCAAGTACTACACGACTTTCGACTTCGGGGAGCAGTCCAACGACAAGGTGTCGGATATCTGGATTCGGGAGTCGGATTCAGACTGCAAGCCTGCAGCGGCCAACTCTTCGAAACTCAAAGTCTCAGCATCTCGGCCTTCAGGATGATGCCTTGAACACATCTGTTTTTTGTCTCAGAATTCAGGCTTCCACGCATCTGATAGCTTAGCTTCCCATGTGCATGAGGCAAAGAACCACTCAAAGTTAAGCGAGTTCAATGTCTCGCTGCGGTGGCATGGCTGGCTGAAGTGTTTCTGCCGTCACTGTTGCCGTTCTGACATTCCTTTCATATCCTCCGAGATGCAGCAAGGAAGCTGTAGCATAATCATGGTGAGAAATGCCGTGCTGAAAGGCAAGTCGATCAAAGCAAGTTGAGGCGCCGGGCTACATGCTCACGCTGGGCTTGTCGGTAATCTGGACTCGCCTGCTTCGTGCCTAGCGCCCTGCTCGGAACGTCTTGTTTCAGGCTTCCTCCGTGGATGGCAAATCGAAGTGATGTGGTCCTGAAGCTGTAAACTTTACCGGGGAATGAAGTGCTTGTTTCATGGGTGCTGTGCAAATACGGTGCTGCCCATCGTGAAGCAAGCTTATGTTTCCCAGCCCCAGCAGACTGTGCAGTCTGCAGAAGTCGAAAAGTGAAGAGCCAAAGCAATTCAGTGATTCTTGGCCTACTTCGCTGAATGTTGTCGAAGTGTATCGATGCTTCAGAGACTCCAGCCCTGGCCAGGCGGTGTGCGATGCGCTGAGAAATCGCCTGACGCGATTTTTCCTCCAAGGTGATGAACTAAACCTGGACAGAGGAGCCGACTCCTCGGGAGGAAGGTCTCAGAGAGTTCCCTAGCAGTTTAGGAGAAGCGCGGCGAGGGTCGGGGAAACATCGTAAAGCCTTTGGCGACTTGAGGTCGGCGTCTTCATCACGATGAACCCCGGCTACCTGGGGCGGTCGGAGCTGCCGGAGGGGTTGAAGGCTGCTGCAGCGACACACCCGACCTTCTGGACATGTACATTTCACAAGAAGCTCTTGCAAGGCCTTGTTCAGACCCATCACCGTCATGGTGCCGGACTTCATGCTCATCATGGAAAACATGTTCATGCCGACTGCTCAGCCTTCGTTACCCCTTGCAGAAACCTGTGTTCTCTTCCCGCAAATCTGATTACCAGGTCGGAGGGCTTTCTGGATGCCAAGAACCTGGCTCTGAAGTTCTCGACCCTCTACGCCCTTAACAAGGACGCAGCGTTTCTCTGCTTAGCGCTGGCTTGGCTTTCCTGGCCTTGTGACCTTTGCCCGGCCCTTCATGCAGTGCTGGTATGTTTTCGCTCAAGCTTCGGCTTCGGCTTCTCTACTGATGCGCATGCGCAGACTTGGTAGTCCATGACATGAAGAACCACGCAGCCCGCCACTACCACTGGTCTGCACATTCGCAAATTCGGAGAGCCGTCGCTTTAGTGGTTGCTTAGTCGCCATCCTGCTTCAGAAGGACAAAAGGATAACCTGCGGCAGCCCCCCGCACCGATGAATCTAGAAGAACCCAGTGCCAGATTTCCCGAAGTGGAGCAACGGTGCTCCACGAAGTTCAGCATAGCAAAGCCTGCCGAACCACCCACGAACTTAAGAGCACAGCAATCCCCTTCGTCATTTTGACGCAGCAAGCTTATGACAGCCTCGGATGGTTATGGCGCCGAGTTGAAAGACTCAGACGGAGGCAGCCCACAGGAATTGCCGAGCCAAGAAGTAAAATCATGGAAGCGTGCATTTGACAGTAGCGGTCTGAACTACCTGGACCTTCTTGGAAATACAGCACACACACACATATATATATATATACACATATACATATATATATATATACATACATATATATATATACATATACATATATATATATACATACATATATATATACATACATGCATGCATGCATGCATGCATGCATACATACATACATACATACATACATACATAGACTTCTTCGGGGCCGGCCCTTTGAACTTTCAGGTTGTTGTTTGTCACTTGGGAAACC